GTGGTTGTTGTTTTATCTCCTCCTAAATGAGATTGTACTTGTAAAAACGGCTAGCCAAATAGTATGTTCTCAATGCATGTTAGTTGAGAGTACTTCTGAGTTTCAGAAGTACTTAGTGATCATTATCACTAAGTGATAATTTCCCCTCTCTAAAGACTTTGAATGTTTTTCATAAACTTGTATTTAACGCAAGTATATTTCAACATACCAAAATGCAAAACAGAATGTCAAGCTGTTACCTCAGTCTTTAAAATTTTGGTACTCCATGCCTTTTCCTTTTAAAAAAAATACTGGGGGGGGGGTTTTTTTTTTTTTTTTTACATGAGAATAGTCTATGTCCTGAATAAACATAAAAGGCATCTGCTCTTTTAGAGCTCCCATGGGCAACTCATAAAACCTTTCAGATTTAGGGGAAGCTGATTATTGAAAGGAAGGGTTTCATTAACAGCAGCATATGTGGCAGAAGTGGAAATGTTGGTCAGAAGTGGAAATGTTGGTCTATTTTTAGATTTCCTCTGTGTTTGCTTTGAATTTATCTACTAATGTAATCTCTCTCTGTTCATCAAGCTGCCGGCAATGCCGTGCTTGTCAGAATTGCCCAAACTCATCAGACTCATTTCAGGAAAAGAGCTTTTTAGTACCCTGGACAATTTTTAGGGAATACAGACTTTTTGTGGAAATGGAAGGATGAATAGAGGTAGTTATGTATAAACGGTGTTTTCAGATGAACAGCAAGGACTGACAGCTGTGGCCAGGACTCTTGATTGATGGGAGACTGGGAACTGGAGCCTACAAGAATTTGGGTATTATGCTTCTTACTGAAAATTACTTGTATGTGATAACCTAAAATTTAGATTCTATTTTAGGGCAGCATTAGGCAGGTGGGATCAACTGGTACTGGAGCCCAGCTCATTCAGAGTGTAAATGCAAACGAAATCATGCTCAAACATACCTTTTTGAGTTACCTGGTTAGATTGGTTCTTATATTGTCAGGACTGCCAAGGCTGGTTTAAGTCAGTGAGCACTGCTGTCCTGTCCTCTCCCTCCCACCCTGTCAGTGTGTTCTACTGGTGACTGAAGATATTAGATCAAGCATTGTCAGCTGTGACTAGGTGTAAGGTTGGGGAAGTTTACTTATATGCTGCCTGATTTGAGCTATTGATAGAAATGCCTGATCAGGGGAGTCTTCGTGGAGTGTCTTTGGCTGCCTGCTCAGGCTGAGAAACTGAAGCCAGATGAGGCGTCCTTCCCCATTCCACCATGGCAGGTGGCTTGGTTTATGATGCTGCAGGAAGACTCCTAATCTGCTGGGTCCGGGCCAGGGTTAGAACTTGTCCCTTACACTGAGGTATGTGCTCCATTTTTGTTCCTTCTTCCTATCACTGTACGGTACACTCTACCTTCCTTAAGTTTGAGTTTCTCAGCATAGGCAAATAGTGGCTGGGGCTTGGGGTGGGGGGAAAGATGTAAAAGGAGTAGGTTGATGTGAAGGAAGGTGGGAAGGCCCTGCCGTTTTCTAACGACAGAAATTGAAAACTAGGAGAGAAGTGACACCCTCCTCTCATAAGAGTCCTTTGGTCTTCCAGAGGCCTAAGGTTGGGATGGAGTCTGGGAAATAGAAAATAGGTTGCAGGAAGTGGATGAGTGAGATATAGGAGGAAGGGAGAAGGACTGTTCAGTTCCGACTGCCCAGTCTTGGTAACATTGTACTTGTCTCTGCCTTGCCTTGTCCTTGTACCTTGTCTCGGGCCTATGGGGGAAGAACACAGCAAGGTCCTGGCGCCCAGGTAGCCTATGAGAGTCAGAACAGAGATTTAGAAAAGGAGAGTGGGAGAGAAATTATGTAACAAAAGAAAAAAAATTGCTGTGATCAGCTTCTAGCACCACACACAACAGAACCTCCACATTCCCACTTCCCATATGAAACAATTGTTGAGATTTCCCTGGGCTATTTACCATCCCCTTTTTATCTTTTGTTTCATTGCAAGTATTTTTAAAGTGAATTTTAGGTGTCATGCCATTAAATATTTTAATATTCTTCTCTAAAATGTTTGGACATTTTAAATATATCATTAGTTTTAATTTACAGAATGGTTGAAAGTCAAATTTTATTTTAAATTTGATGAATTATTTTTAGGTAAACTTAAAAAAGATCACACCTATAAAAATTTAAATTTAAAATAAAGCTTTCAAAGAAAGTCTACAATGTTAATAACTTAAAATTACACTGTATTCACTGTGACTTTAAGGTAGTCACAGCTATTTCCATGGCTTAAGCTATGTCAGATATTATTCACAACCTTGGTTTCCTCTTTGAATGTATCGCCTTCAGCAGCTCTACCTCAGAGTCTCACAGTACTTATTAAATTAGTTCAAACCAACCCATGGCCTCACTCTGACAACCCCCAGCCTCTTAATGTTAGTATTTCCTGAATCTTGTGGATGGTTAACACCATCTTATTACATAAATCGGCTTTGATGTCTGCTTATTCTTTGGTCCCTCATTCAGCCTATCACTAAACTATCAATTTTACCTTATCTTATTTCTCAAAGTACCTTAGTCAAAGGTCCCAGAGAAAGATGCTAAGAGTTTGTTTGGTTTGTTTTTTTTTTTTTTGACCCCTTTCAGTCCTTCTCTACATTTCAACTAGAATAAGCTATAAAAATTTAAATCCAGTCTGATTGCCCCCTATTTAAATACTCTGTGGCTTCCTGTTACTCTCAAGAGTAAAAGTCTTAGCAAGTGTTGCAAGCATACTGCCTTTCTCCCCAATTTCAGGTCTCTCTCCCTCTCCTTCATGCAGTAATTATTTAATGAAGGTCTCTTTCCCAGTAGTAAACTTTAAACTGCATGAGAACCAGAACTCATCCTTTCTGTTTGTTTTTGTGTCTCTAGTAGCTTAGCATAGAGCCCAGTACATAAAAAATACATGTTTGTTGAATGACTGTATGAGTGAGTCTGAATGAGATGGGTGGTTGAACCATCCAGAAAATATGTTTACAGGTTATAATTTAAAGAATCTGATTATTAGAAATCTCTTAAATCTAAATACTTGAAACTTTTAAATCAAAAGGCCCTCAAGGATCTTTTTGTCCAACTTTTCATTTGTTATTGAAGAAACAGACTCAGAATGCTAAAGTGACTTATAAAAAGTCTCTAGACTAGATAGCAACAAAACCCATAGTATTTTACAGGTCCTTAGCTACTAATGCAAATATTCTTTGTACCTGAGTCATGGTTCATGTACAGAAGGAAGGCTCTTTGTATATGTCCTAAATATCCATTATTTAGCTATTATAAATAATGTTTCTATGTTCAGAGGCATAGAATTAAAAGAGGCCAGAGGGCCCTACCTTTGTCTTGGTATAGAAATCACTCATACTTTTACTGATGGATAGGGAGTGGGCTTCTTTGTACCCATTCCATTTCCCGTTAGTTCTGGTAGTTTTAATAGTGGCTTGGGATCTGTTTCCTACTAACAGTTGTCCATGTGATCCTAAGTTTATTACAATGCTTCTTAGTTTTCTAAGTTATGTATCTTAGACTAATCATTTATAGATAATCTTGATCTACATTTGTCTAAGGGTATTGCCTTTTGTCACTGTTTTTTTTTTTTTTTTAAGATGAGCATTTCAGACTGAATTAAGAACCCATCTGAATTCACAGCCCAAAGATTTTAAGTGATCAAGGGCAACTACAGGGAAATTGTTTATTCTTGTCACCTAGACATTTCTAGGTGAATGAATCTAATATCATGGTTAAAGTCTTGGGTCTGGGGTAGGGCAGACATGGATTTCTTTTCTGGTTCTGCTTCTAACTATGAAATTACACTTAACCTTTCTTAAATTAAGCTTGAACAAGCAAACAGGAGAATGCGAGCAAACAGGAGAATCCCTCTTAACTGGTTTAAAGTGTCCATATACTTGTAAATGTTCTTTTTTTTTTTTAAAGATATACTTATTTATGCATACAATGGTTGGGCTGTAGGCTTTGGAGGGGTGTGTGGGGAGCAGAACTCATAGATTAACTGAAATACACTGCTGAGGGGAGTAGCAATGGACTAGACAGAAGAGGTGTGCCGTGAACTGCTGTGCCATGCAGTTAACTCTCTGGTCTGTGAGCAAACTCATGCTGTTATCTTCAGAATGTTGAGACCTAACCCCTTGGACCACCAGGGAGGCCCACTTTTAAGTGTTGTTAAAATTTTATGTGTAATTCAGGACCCTCCATGGTGGCACAGCATGTTAAAGCAGAGTGCTGGGAAGCTAAAGCTACTTCAGCATGAGTTTGAACCCTGCCCACCCCGGAGGTGACCCACATGCCGTGGCAGACCTCTCCTGACCTGCCCGCTGCTTCCCTCAGCAGTGTACTTCATCAATCTGCCTGTTTTGCTCCCTACTCTGTCTCTGATGAATCCTTTCACCACCCCTGCACCTCTGGCCTGTACCCCAATTCTGTATGCACAAATAAATAAATCTTTAAAAAAAAATTTTGTGTAATTCAGTTTCTTTGAGATTTTTTTACTTCTGCAAAGTTTTGAGACTACATGATGGAAAATAGTGCAATGAAAACTGCCATAGAACCATCCTATATTTAAAAATGAAATATAAATTGGAGGTTGTGTAAGGAGTACTTATGTTTTATAAGATCCACAGATTAAAATGTACCTACTGCTTAAAATTAGGAGCCTGAAACCATCAGATCCTAAAGTTTCTTCCAGACCAGTTAATTTAGCCTATAGAATCTTAATATATCAATATAGTTTTATGGTAGGTTCATGATCTATTTAGCCTTTTCTTAAATAGCTCTATTTGTTAATAATTATTATTTGTATATTTGGGAAAACTCATTTTTGGGTTTAGTGCCAGCTGTTCCCTGTCAGACTGCACTGCCACCTTTTGCCTAATATGAGAGATGATTAATAAAAGTAAAAGAACTTTTACTTTTTCTTGGTCTGTCTATATAATTATTTAATCGATGACTTTGTGTTTTATTTTAGAATCACAAGAAACAGATGAACAACTGGTAGCAGAAGTGGTTGAAAAATGTTCCTCTGAGACTTGTTCTATATCCTCAGAAAATGAGGTACCCCAGCAGGTTATTGGTTCTTACTCAGTCAAGGATTTCAAAGAACCTGAACATGATATGAGCAAAATTTCAGTAGTGAGGCCATTTTCAATAGAAATCAAGAATTCCACAGACATCCCAGCAACTCTTGGAACAAAAGCAGCCTGTGGTTATGTAACTGAAGTCTCAGGCGAGGCTTTGCCCTCCTCCATGCCAGAAGCCATCCAGGACAAGGCAATGACAGAAGACACCATGGGGGTTACCCTGAAGGCTTCCACAGAGGCTGACCTAAAAGCCAGCAACTCCTGTCTAGAACCTGTGCCCAGCAGAAGCAAACTAAGAAAGCCCAAACCCATCTCCCTGAGGAAAAAAGCAAGCAGCTGTGAGTTGTCAGAAATGGAAGTTACTCTGGAGGGCACGCCTCTCCCCCAGACATCCTGTCAGTTCAGTGCCGAAGAAGTGAGTGGGAGCACAAATTCTCCTTTGCTAGGAAGTGCCAGGATCCAGAAATCTCCCCCTGATGTCAAGGAAGCATCCAGGGCTCTCACCACTGACACCAATGATTCAGGAGTAGAGCTGCTAGAGGAGTCAAGAAGCTCACCTCTGAAACTTGAGTTTGATTTCACAGAAGATGTGGAAAATATTGAGTCCAGGAAAACCATTCCAAGAAAACTTGGAAGGAAACTGGGTAACAAGTTGAACCCCAAGATACAAAAAGATGGTGTCAGTAAGCCATTAGGAGCTAAAGATACAGAACAACTTCCAGCTCCAGAAGAAGTCCCTCTCTCCCCACCACCTTCTAAGCTGGATCCCAATCAGTGGGATAACCCCAACTTCAATCCCTTTGGGGGTCACTCCACTCTGCAAAACTCCCCACCCCTCACCTCTAAAGGCTCCTACCACTTTGACCCAGACAACTTTGACGAGTCCTCGGATCCCTTTAAGCCAACTACATCTTTACCAAGCAGTGACTTTTGTTCTGCAGCTAACCATGTTAATGAGATCTTAGAGTCACCCAAGAAGGCAAAGTCGCGTTTAATAACGTGAGTGAGGAGGGGTGTGGGATGTGTTCTGTGTATTCTCTGTGAGTTGAGCAGCCAGCTACTTTTGGTTTTAGGGAACTGAAGCTATCTTTCAGATACAATAGGGCAGACCAAATGGAATAACTATGTTGCTATCTTCACTGTTTGGCCTAACTCTTGTTGAAATCAGGAATACCAGAGATTTCTTGTCAGCTTCTCTGTTCAGTTTCTAAATTCTCAAACAAAGCTTATTCAGTTTTGTTCTTCCCCTCACTCATACCCACCTTGAGTACTTTTTTTCTGTTACAAAAATAAAAAGAATTGCATGAGATAGAAATATGATGGTTTTCAGAAGTCCTATTTAGGCTGTCAAGAATCACTTTATATACTCCATACTGAATTCATGTGTCAGTGCCAACCAACTGCTGTCAGATTGTGCATGGATAAAGCAAAAAATTCCAAACCCACAGATTACCTGTACAGTATCAATAATATGTGTATCTTAATCTTCTTATTTAAATAGAAAGCTGTGCTTTGGGTTGGAAAAAAAACTATTATTAAAGGTTGGTAAAAATCCTAATGTCTCCATGTTTAAGATCTGGCTCCATCAACAAGGAAATGAATTTCCAATGAGAACGAAACATATTATAAACCACATTAATCTGACATAAATTGGTTGGTTAGCCTTCAGTTGTGTGTCATCTTCCCCCTTTCCCTTGGCCTAGGAAATCTAGAGCAATTTTTGCAAGGTCCTTGAAGTTCCCAGAGTGAGGGCCTCAGGCTACAGTCCATGTCAAGTTTTAGTTTGGATATGTTACAGGGTTACCTTATTACAAAACTCATGTTGATAACAATATAAGCCTTTGTGACTCTGTGACAGTTTTCCCTAAAAATTAGATAAATAGAAGGATCAGTAGCATGGAAGAAAAAGATATGAAAAGGGAGGATGAGAATTACTATATTTTTAGTCACAATTGATCAATTGGGGAGATAGTTTCATACTGACTTTGACTTCAAGAAACATACTAGAAGGATTGATGAATTCTACAAAAAAAAGGGTTTTGAGAGTGGAAAGTTTCTGTCAGGCCAAGAAGCTTGAGCATTGTAGGAATCAGTTCTTCATGGAATATCTGTAGAATAACTAAGGGGAGTGTACCTGTAGAATATCTAAGGGGAATGAAGTGTCACTGGTAATACTGATCTGTTCTTCAATTACATATGAATTGTTAAATGGCTGCTAAAATGTTGATTAGGTGTTCTCAAAGTGCCCTCCTGTGGTTTAGGTTGGTTACCCTTGTCTAGACAGGTTTGCGGTATGTTTGGACACATCTAAACATTGTCTTGTTGCTTCTGATTGGGATAGCCTAACAGGGCATGCTTTTGCATAGCAAGGTTGATTAGGATTTATTTAGAAGCCTTTGTTTCAGTTATATGTTGAAGGCATGTAGTCCACACATCCACGTTAGGTAAGATTAAATCTAGGCCAAGATTAACTCTAGGAGGGAAATTTATCCTATACCTTATTATTTTCTGTAGCAACCAAGTACCCTCTTTCAAGTCCTACCACACTTACCTGCTAGCATTTTCTTCCTGTTCTGTTTCTGGTGAGTGAACTTCTTTTTTTTTCTTTGAAGATTTATTTATGCTTACAGAATTGGGATATAGGCTAGAAGTGCAGGGGCAGTGAGAGGACTCACCAGAGTCAGAGTGAACTTAATCTGTATTCTTTGTAGGTTTTGTTTTGTTTTGTTTTCTTCTCTACAATGAAATCTCTTTTCTTCTTTCTAGAAGAGAAGGGTGCTTAACCTCTTGTGTAATTTTGGGATTTTGTTTAGCAAATCCCTCATTGGTAGAAAAGACTGAAACTACACTTCTGGGGGTAAAACTTTGTGGAGGGTTAGAAGTTCTGTTAACAGTTTGTGTGACTTTTTAAAAGGTGTATCTAATTGACTTCTCATATTCTTCTAAAAGTGGAGGTAGCATATTATGCTTGGGATTTTGTGTACCAAATTATGTAAAGTCATTTTAAGCATCTTAATTGGTGAACACCTACATTAGCTATTAATAGGTACATTTTCAACAACTAGTATTTTCATTCATCCTTTAATCTGGATGACTAGACATTTAAATATACTCAGCAGTGAAGAATTCTTTTAATATGTTTATAAATATTGGAAAATTTACTGTTCATCTCTGAGTTTGACTATGTGGCATTTCTGGGTATTTCTACCACTCTCTTAACTGTGTTTGAGTTGAGGTTCCTGATAATCATTCACTCACCAGCAGTAACATTCATAAATATATAACATTTTTAGTTGTATCTCATCTTGTAGAAAGAACTTTGCAACCTTTTTGCATCTACCAGACTAGAGATAAATATTCCAGGCTTTACATAATTTTTCTCCATCTGTCTGTCTCTTTTCCTGTCTCTAATGTTGTTGGTGCATCAGGACTACTGAACAAGTGAAATTTCTCTGTTTTCTGTTGTAAGTACTTCTGCTGCTGTTTCTGTTTGTCCCTGAGATGTTGGCATTTTCTTTTCCCGGCTACCCCAGACTGTCTTTCTGCATAGCATGTTGGCTGCCACTTCTAAGTTTGACCTTCTCATGATTTTTTGCATTTCATTTGCCACTTCACAAGTCAGCTTAGCCTTGCAATTGTCTGTACCTAAAGGATGAAGCTCTGCCTTCCTGCCTTAGGTACGAGAGCTTGTGCTCCTTGGCTTGGCACACCTCACGTGCGCTTTGAATATTGAGTGCTAGCTTGGCCCTGAAATCGTCCCAGCATTGGTTCAAGGGACAGCTCTGCTATTTATTCTTAGAAATAGTTGACTTTTTTATGGAATAAAGTTGCTGGCTTAAAGCAAGGGCTAAATTTTACTAAGCCAGCTCACTGTGAATTTGGTGGCAGAGGTTGGAATTTAGTAGGAATATTAAGAAAGAAAACCATGAGCTGTACCATAGTAGTATACATTCTGGTAACATGTGATTGTGTGTTGTTCCTCCCTCTTTCCTCCCCCCAACACCCCAAACACACACACACAGAAGAAGAAAAATAGCTATTTGGGAAGAGGGAAAGGACGGAAGTATCAGAGTGACATTTCAGGAAATTTTAAGTACATTAAAACAGAACCGAATCTTTGGATTGTAAATTATATGCCAGTTTAAAATAACAAGTGGTTTGGACTTTCCCCAGTTTCAATTATGTTCATTTTCCATCTTACTACTTAATAGTAATAGGAATGGTAAAAGTTTAATTAAATATTTTATGCTTTCTTTTCACCACTATTCTTGATAGCAAACAAGTCTGGGACTGACTTATCAGACTTCTGTGGCTTCTAGTGCAATAAAGAATTTCTATATAAAGAATCTGGCCCAGCGTGGTAATTTTTTTAACGAATGTCAAATCAAGTGAGTAAGAATCAGATGAACTGAATGTGAGTGTGGAGGCTGCTCTCTGAAAGGTTTTTGGTGGTGTGCAGTTGAAACTGGGGGGATTGGAGTGCCGGCGTTAAACATCCCCTAAAAGCAAGAGAGGTGGTCTTTCAGAGAATGAGTTGAACTATAGTTCTTTGTTTTATTCTATTTCTTGGGAGAAGACTCAGATGTGAAAGACATCTCCATCTCTAACATGTAGATGTATGACTTGTGTGGTGCTTTATGCTTTGGCTTCTACCTGCAAACACTGCTATCTCTGTTCCATTTCATAGCCTAGAAAGTGTCTGTCCGTTTACTAACCTGCTGAATTTTTTCCTTTTCTTTCCAGGAGTGGCTGTAAGGTGAAGAAGTATGAAACTCAGTCTCTTGCTTTGGATGGGTGTGCTCAGGTAAGTCTGTCACCAGAATGTCTTTTAAACCATTTGTCCCCAAACTGGAGGGTTGGTAAGTAATGAAAACTTTCATTGGGTATTTGAGTTGTGTGCTTAAGGAAACTAATTTCCAGGTCCTTAACTTCCTAAACTCATCTGAGAATCAGGCCCCTGAGGTCAAAGGAAACCTTTCACGTTGCCCTTTCTAAAGCGTCTTCTCTCATTCATCCTAAATCTTACTAAGGAGCATCACCATCAAATGTGAAACCTCTGGGTCACCAGAGAGAGACTTGAAATGCTGGCATAATTTTTTTTAAGTTAGATATCTGAGTTTTAATTCGTTGCTGTCAGTAAAACAGGAGAACCTGCATTAATTAGGTAAAAATAAATTTTAACAGTGCTAGTGTTGATTATATTTCAATTTAAAAAATAACTTGATAGAATTATGTGGTTCATAACTTGGAAAGGGGCTCAAATACATGTCCATAACTACATGAATTACTGGGAAACAAACAAAAAACATGCATTTGGATTTAAGTGAGTTTTTTTTTTTAAAGAATTCTGTGTTTGTATGACTGTGAACATAGAAATACATTCACTGATTAATGAAATGCATTTTAAATTTAATTTACTCTATGTGATTTATACCATAACTTGGTACATAAAGATTGTTTTTAAAAAGGATTTGCAGTTGGATTTATTCTTCATCTATTATAGACATATAAAATATTGACCTTCATTCAGGTGCTGTCAAAACAGGCTAAAAGAGCCATGAGAAACTGAGTTGTGATTTTCTTCAGAAAGATAACTCATTCTGTGTGTAAAAGTTTTAAAACCTGTTGTATCAAAATACTGTGGTTGATTTCTGTTTAATAAAAACTTATTTTGTTTTTGATAGTACTTGCCAGGAGTTCTAATAAATAAGTCTCCAGAAGAACAATGTTAACTGAGGCAGCCACAGAAAACATTTTTTAAAGTTTTTAACTTTTTTAAACAAAAGTATGACAGGAAGTCTTTTTAGCAATTTTCAGCATACAAATGTATTTCCTTGCGATAATTTCTTGGTGGTAGTAGAATAGAAATAGAAATTCAGAGAGGAAGAGGAACAGTCTCCAAAAGGTTGTTACTAATTCAAGAGCATGCATATATTCAAATTTAAATAGATATAAGATATCAGAACATTAGAGTAACGAGGATCAATTAAATAAGATCACTATTTAAAGTATATTAGATATTATTTGAAATTATTTAAATTTATGCTGTAAAGTTTTTACAGCATAAGGGGGTACTTAGATTTTTTTAAAATGCAGAAGTCATATGAGTAAAATATTTAAAACCATTGCTTGGATCACTTAAACTTCTTGTTTATAAGTTTAGACTATAGAAGCTGATATTTTCTCACAGACTGGAGTTACAAAGTTAGTTCTAGAAAACAAGATTCATGATTTCCAAATTTCTTCCATGATAGGTACCCAATCTGTGACTAACTTTTATCCAGTGTCCATATGGGATGGTTGCTACTTTATTCTGTTCCTGAAATGGTGTTTTCCCCGTTGTTTGTCCTCCTAAGAGGTAGCCTCTTATCTGTTGCATTTCCCAGGATGAAGAAGCAGTGATCTCCCAGATTTCAGACATTTCTAATAGGGATGGCCATGCTACTGATGAGGAAAAACTGGCGTCCACTTCTTCGGGTCAGAAATCAGCTGGGGCCGAGGTGAAAGGTGAGCCAGAGGAAGACCTGGAGTACTTTGAATGTTCCAATGTTCCTGTGTCTACCATAAATCATGCGTTTTCATCCTCAGAAGCAGGTATGGAAGTATATCTACATCTTTCTAATGTACATAAGCACAGAAAAGCCTAAAGAGGAGATGCCTTAGAAATAATTAGAAAATTGGGTCACTTGAAGAATAGATTTAGGATGTTTATCTATGCTTTGCTGATTTTCTGGAAAAGAGACACAAAAGGGTGCCTTACTGAAATGCCAGGAACAGATGGACAAGTGTGGCAGGATATACAGGTGACACTGGTGTATGAGACTGCTTGTGTTTTTTTATGACTTAGTGTGGTGACATCCTAAAGTACAGGTGCTTATAACTGTGTTGTGATTATTATGTTCGTTGTTTAACTTACAGAAATAATAGAAACTGTATATGCATTACTACACGCAGGCATTGTTCTAAGTGCTTTGCATGCATTAAAACACTCATTATTTCTTGCTAGTTATTTTTCTCATTTTCAATGAAGGAGAGTGAGATATAGAAGGTAAATATCTCAGCCAGGTCACTTGACTAGTAAATGGTAGAAATAGGATTTAAATCTAAGCAGTCTGGTCCCAAAGTCTTTTAACCAAAGTGCTAAAATGTGAAAGGATTATTTTCATTACATTAGTGGATTATAAATTGTCGTGTTCTGGTGATAGATTGAAGTTGATCAGCGCCCTATAAAATTGTTCCTAATGTTCTAATAAAAACCTCATGTAAACTGTGCTGCGGCTTCCTGCCATTGGATTCTTTGGGATATTCCTAGAACTGAGGTTCTTTTTCAGGTCCCAAGCTACATCTGAGGCCTTAAGCTTTACTTGTGAAATATTTAGAGTTCTGTTCCTAGTTACATTAAATGTTAATAAAAGCTCAGATCTTCAGCAGCATAATTTAATTTGGGACTTTTATAGAATATAAAAGAATATTTTTAGAATATTAGAATTTTAAACAGCTTGACCTCTCATCAATTCAGGAAAGCAAATGCAAATCTGGACTTTGTGAAAATTATCCCCCTACTTTCTTCCTGCCCCCCAGTTCTCACTCCCCATCTGTAAAGCCCGTGTGACAGGACTCCCCCTCATTTCTTCGTAGGCCTCTCTCTGCTTTTTTTCCAAAAGACATTTTTTGCTCTTCATTTCCCTTTATATTCCTTTATTCCATTTACAGGAGCTAGTCCCAACTACCTTTGTTCTTACATTTACTTCTTCCATTTCTTTCCTCTCTCCTAGAAAAAATCAGCCCATCCTCTCAGGTCCTTCTCAGATGTTACTTGGCCCCCACTGCTTTTACCATTCTGTTCCATTTAGTGATTTTAGAAGGGTAACTCTTTTAAGGTTATGGACAATCAGTGATTTAGTCTTTGAATTTCTTCTAATGCAGATGCATGATACTTAACTGATTTCTGTTTTTCTCACTGGGAGGAAATCTTTTCAACAAAAGCGTCTATATCTGGGGCTCTATCAGATGGCATTCTCAGAGTTAACCAGCAGCTGATGGCCTGGGGTAGCTGATTAGCTGTGTGTCCTGGGACCAGGCAGAGGCTAGGGCTGTGCAGGCATGGAGGGATGAAGGGAGGTCGTTATACTGGCTCTCTCAGCTGAATCAGACCATTTCCTGGAGAGTCACCTTTGAATGAGGTGTTGATGGATGCAGATATGTGCCCCATGACACTCATGGGGTAGGGATAGGAGGCAACCTGCTATATTAGTAAAATGCCTAGTAACTGTGTGTATGAGTACTGACAAGTGGGATAATGAGGTCACTGAGTTGCTGGGGCTGTTGCTGTACCTACAGGGGAACCATTGAAGGTATTTTGGTAGTTACACAGTTGACAGATAACAATAACAAATTAATATTTTGGTATACTATGTGGAGACAGCACTTTAAATTTTTGTGTGTTTTTCTGTATTTTAAAAATGTCTTCAGTGGGTACATATCTCTTTAGATTAAAAAAAAACAGAGAGTTGGTTATTTTAAAATGTTGGCTTCTGAGGACAGTAGAAGTGAGACTGGATATAAGGAAACCATTGTGAAGTGTACGGGGAGGATAATGCATTTAGTTTTGTTAGCTTTGAAATTTATCTGTTACATAAATTTGTTTGAGGTTACTCTTCAAGGCTAGAAATTTAAGTTCATTGAGACTTGGTAAGAATTTAGTATTCAGCGTTAGGGTTTTGCTTTCTGATTAATGGACACAGGGGGGCAGCCTTACTGTTCGTTTCACTTGGAGATCCTTGCTATGTTTATGGCTGATTAACCAGCTGTGCACTCCCTTTTTCTTCTGAATATTTTGAACTTTTAACGCAGATAACACAGCAGCCAGCAGAATGCCTATGCTTCTTTGAAAATCTTAAAGTGCTGGTCATGTCCTCATTAGTGTCATTTTGGGCCAGCACTGGGGTTCCAATATTCTCACTTGGAAGGAAACTTCTTGGGATAACTATAAAAGTGACTCTTTGTGTTTTAGGTATAGAGAAAGAATTGTGCCCGAAGATGGAAAAAGATGGATCGGCTGCCGTTCCTGTAAGTTCCTAAACTTGTAGGAGGAGGGTGGTGGGGTTGGTGGTAAATCGCTATTTCGGATTGCTTCCGGCCCCCCCTCCCATTTGTTTTGAAGTCCATGTTAATTCATTAAATAAATTCTTGTCAGCATTTGGTGATGGTGTTGAAATATATTCACTGAACGCTTCACCTGTGGCAAGTCCAGCTGGAGAATTGGAGTAGGTGGAAAGTACAACCAGTTCTTGAGTATGTAGTACCAGAAAAAATGTCTCTTAACTTTTCATGTTGATTACATATTGGGATGATAACATTTCTTATAACTATAGTTTTAAAACTAATTTCACCTGTTTTTACTTTTTCGTGTAAGCTACTGAAGAATTTTAAATTCCATATGACTTACATTGCATTTCTTTTCTACAGAAGATATAAAATACGAGCCAATAATACCCTTTGGTGAATGTCACAGCAGAATATGTTCCAAGGACAGTGGGAGCCACAGCCCACTGGCTCCCTGGCTGGGTTTGGGAAGACACTTGTCAATTAACAACAATGTTTAAAAAAATGAACTTTGTGACTTACAGAAATAACAGAGAATTTATGTAAATCTTTCACTCATACTCAAATGCTAATATTTTGTCTAAGGGTAGTAGCATGACCAAGTCAAGCAGTGCTGTCACAGTCTCATCTAGAAACAGTATTCACATCTTATCAGTTGTCCCTCGGTATCTTTTTTCTGACCCAGGTTCCCATGTTGCATTTCCCTGTCGTGTCCTTCGTCTCCTTTAATCTGTGACTGTTCTTTGTTTTTCCTGACCTTGACATTTTTGAAGAGTATTGCTCGTTGTTTTGTAGAATGTCTTTCAATTTGGGTTCACCCAGTGTTTCCTCATGATTAAATTCAGTTTATACAGTTTGAGCACAGGTAAACAAAAATGACATGGATATTCCTGCATCCTGTCCTTGATGGAGATGATTTTGATCACTTGGTTAAGGCGCTATCAGGTTCCACCATCTGAACTAACTTTCAAAGGAAAAATTGGGTTTGCCAGGTAGAGAAGGCAGTGAAGGGGATCCCAAACAGGCCAGATGGCCTTTACAAATATAGTCAGTGAGACAGAGTCCAGGGTTTATATGAGGAATTGCAGGTATTCATTGTCTCATGTTCAGAGGACACTGTATATGATGGGCAGGAGTCAGCTCATCAGGAACCATAGGCAGCATCTCAGAGTTGTAGAGATGGGCACTAACTATTTTGGAGTTCTGAGGATGGAGTGGAGACTGAGATGTAGCCTGTGGAACCAACACTTCTTGATGAACATGGGGACATTCATAGTGGCTGGGGTGGAGGTGGTAGTGAATTCGTTTCCTTTGGGACAAATGCAGTCTCTTACTGTGGCCAGTGTGGCTTTCTGTGGTGGGACCCTGCCTCCTTTCTCAAACATCTGACACTCTCCGAGCCACATAGGCTTTCTTTCAGTTCCGTGAGCCTCCTTTTTAAAGTCATTTCCCTGTTTTACCTTCCTTACAAGACTGTAGGCTTGGTATTGGTAAGGATCATAACTGTAAATATTGCTAAACATAGGAATCAGCAAATTAAGAATATAGAAAGAGGAACAAAATTGTAGAAGTTCATTTTTGTGTGCTGGAGACACCTTGGGACCAGTTTCAAAGTCCATACATCTGCAGGCAGCTGTAACTACATAACATAAGCTCAAGCAAAGCCTGTGTTTGCATTAGCAGGTTTGAGGCCCCCTAGAACTTGGAGTAGTTAAAACTATAGGCTTAAACAAAGTTATGATTAAAACATGCTTTACAAAAAAAAAAATACATTTATATCTGGCTAACACGTATATGCACATGAGATACAGCATAACATCTACAATACACAAAATATTATTTACCCTTCTTTGTGTGATTCACTCTGGTATTTTCTATTCTGTTTTTCTTCTTTAATACATTGTTTGTCTTAATAGATTGTTTATTTATTTATACAGAGCTGGGGTATAGGCCAGAGATGCAGAAGGTGAGAGGATTCACCAGAGACAGAATGGGGAGCAGAACAGGCAAATCAACGCAGTACACTGCTGAGGGGAGCAGCGGGCGGGTCAGGAGAGTCTGCCGCGCCAAGTGGTCACCTCCGGGGCAGGCGGGGATCGAACTCATGCGGAAGTGGCTTTAGCTTCTTAGTGCAGTGCTTTAACCTGCTGCGCCACCAGGGAGGGCCCTGTCTTAATAGATTGTTTTGAGGACAGTTAAGCCATTTGGGCCATTACCCGCAGTATTTCTCTTGAGAACCCAGGATGAGCAAATGTGAAGGTAGTAGGGTACACATAGGGACTCACAAGCTTTATCCTTTCACAGGATTTTGCTTCACACGTCCTCATAGTTATCTGGACAGATCACTTTTGATCCTCAGCTTTCTTGGCCAGTACATAGGTCACCTCATGCACTGCATTAGGTGAATTTCTTTGTGGCACCTGTGCTCACTATATATTTGTAACTCCAGAGCTCTATTGAGTTCCCTACAGTCCACAGACAGGTCTTTTTTGTTGGTCCTCAATTGTAACAAGACAATGATTGAGAGACGCATTCATGGGTCCCTCTTCAGAGGATGTGATTGACTGATTAGCATCTTTATTAAATACTTACTAGTTTGTCCAGCCCAGGAAGAGATCATTGGCCAATTCTTTGTGATAGTAGATTTAGTAAGCTTTCTACAGTGTTTGATAAGCAATGTGAAGGCTCAGGAATTTAAAAAGTTATATCCTATAGGACTGGAAAAGGTGGCTGAAATAGGTCCCAGCATAAATTCCCTTCCTCTTACCATCTCTTAAGAGCTGTTATATTTTGAGCCATGATTTGTGACCTATGACCAGGGAGAGCGGAGTGGCCAGGGAGCTGTAGTTGCTGACCCCACCATCTGCATGTATTCGCTAGTTTGTGGCCTTCTGAGATCTGATCTGCTACTCCAGCCAGAACTTAGGACACCGCGTTTGTTAGCACTGAGTTGTTGAGTAAGCGTGCTGACTGAATTCACTTATCCCTTCAACAGATGAAGTGCTAAACTCTAAAATAGACATTGGTGTTTCCCTGACCAAGAAAATTCTTTTGGCTTATTTCCAAAATTCTTGCTAACTTGAAGGTCATGGAAGCTCATGGGGGCATTTCCTAGAGTTGACCTGACTTGGGAATTCTGTCTTGAATAATAATAAATCACAAAAGACTCATTTTAAAATATATTTATTGAATAGAATGTAACAGGTGAACCAAATGTGTCTATTTAATCCTGTCCCATGGGAGACAAGACTAGGAGAAAGTTTCATGACGAAACATGGCACAGGAAGTTGAGATGATTTGAAGGTCCAGGGGTGTTATCAATTTCTATGTAGAGATTACTCTAAAACAACAAACATTCATTATTTCATCATTTCTGCACCAGGGAAGCTTTTCTGGGTGCCTCTGACCTGGGATCTCTCACAAGCCTCGATTGTGACCTCAGCAAGGGCAGTGGTCTCCAGGCTTCACTAGAAGTAGATCTACTTCAAAGTTCACACATGTGGCTATTGGCAAGTCTCAGGGCATCACTGGTAGTTGGCAGAGTCAGTTCCTTGCCACTTGGGCTTCTCCCTGGAGCTTCTCTTAGCATGGAAGCTGGAGTCTTCTAACCTAACATCAAGTGACATCCCATGACTTTCCATAGACTTTTCTTTATAAGTAAGTGTATCAGTTGGTCCAACCTACAAAGGGAGGAGGTTTCATGCAAAAATTATTATCAGGCCCTCCCTGGTGGCACAGTGGGTTAAAGGGCAGCATTAAGAAGCTAAAGCCACTTCAGCATGAGTTGGATTCCCGCCCGTCTGGAGGTGACCACATGGCGAGGCAGACCTCACCCCTCCTGCTGCTGCTCCCCTCAGCAGTCTACTTCATCCATCTGCCTGTTCTGCTCCCCACTCTGTCTCTGGTGAATCCTCTCACTGCCCCTACACTTCTGGCCTGTACCCCAGTTCTGTATGCATAAATAAATAAATCTTTAAAAAAAAATATCAAGGGGTGGGTGGGCTCATCGGGGGTTATTTTAGAGACTGCCCCCCAGAAGTGGCTTCCCTTGTTGGTGATGTGTCTACTCCAGGACAGAGGGTGGGTGGGGGTTCATGGAGATCGTGGGCTTCTGTCAACATGGAGAGCTACCTTCCCCCAGATGATGTGGACACAGGCACTGTCCGCTGTAGCTTTTGCACTTCCCTTTCTGTGGCCTATGGCATCAGGTTGTACTCTGGGCCTTTGGATGAGGTCTGTCATGCTGCTTGCAGAAATTATGTGTTTTTCAGCGTTTTCTTGCGAGAAGGGGTGTGTTGATGATCATGAAAAGTTTAAAACCTCTTGTCTAATTTGACCTTGGTCATTAGAGAACTGGCTAATAATTGCAAATAATTGATCCGCTATACTGACAATGAAGATTATTGTGATTATTCCCAGGTTACCTTCGCTGGCATTTTGGGTGTTTTTGGATCACCTTTTTCCCTATTCTTATAAAACATTTTCTTATTTAGGCGCTAGGAAATTGGTTTCTCTCCCACCCCAAAATGCCCTTTAGTAAGGAAAATAGTACCAAGTAAGTACATGTTTCTGTGAAAATCAAAGTTCTGACCAAATATGACTTCAGTTCTGAGTTTATGGAAAAGAGCTGGCACACTAGGTGGTGACTTCGCGCTAGAGGAAGATGAAAGCTTAATAGCAAGAACAAAAGAAAACAAATGTAGGCATCGAGCTTGACTTAGATGTGGCTGCCTCTCAACTCTGCTAGGTTAGGGCATCCACTATGGAGCATTTGAAGTTCCGACTGCTCCTGGGTCACGCTGGGTGGGTGTGGGCACCCCTAGTGAGAGATAGTTGCTGTTTCTGCTTCCTCAGACCTGAAAGTTAGTAATGCATTTCAGAAATATTTCCATCCCAAAGTGGAAATCTTCAATATGTTAAAAACACTGACGTTTTCTGGGAAATTTTATTTACATGGAACATTATCCCCATTAGAGATTAACCATAAATGGTATTCTCTTTTCTATATGTAACTCTTTGGTAACTGACTGTTATGATTATGATTATACTTTCTCATTTTTGAATAAGAAGAAAATTTCTCTAGGCTTCCTGTTACAGAAACTAGACCCCTGATAATTCATTGTAACATTTCTTCCTGTAAATAATAGCATAACTGGATTTTTTTTTAAAGCCTCCCCTGTTTTTTTCTTCAGCCTGTAAAGAATGTGATTGATTCAGTAGTGAGGGAGTTATTAAAGGTTGAGAAGTTGAAGAGTAAAGGAATTAAATGTAACCTCTTCTCCCACAGGGGCTGTTGGAGTCCCAAATTGAGAAGGCCCCCGTGTCTGTGGCCTGTGGAGGTGAGAGCCCTCTGGATGGAATCTGCCTCAGTGAGTCAGATAAGACTGCTGTGCTTGCCCTGATAAGAGAGGAGGTAAAGGCTTTTTTGTCCTGTCCACTTATCAGCCCCTTTCTCTATGAATGTGCCATGTGCCGGTGGGTTGATTTTATCTCTGCTGGCTGAAAGTTCTTGTTTCCTACAGCTGTGTAGCTCATATAAAGGGCTTTCTATAAAACTCCACCTTGGTGCTAGAGTCTCGCTTACTGGTATAAGAGGAGAAGATGGATGCTTTGAATTTTGCATACTTTGTCTTTCAGCCTTGATGTCTTAAATACCTAATTTTGCCAACTTTGTCCATGTATAACTAAAGCAGTACCTTTGTTTTATAGAGGACATATGTTTTACATAGGATATGTATGTTCTGCTCATGCCTAAAGATTGCCGACATTCTTGACTTGGAGTATTATGAAAAGTATTATAAAGCATACCCTAATAATTGTAACAATGATTTTGAGCAATTACATTTCTCATGCTACGTAACATTTTTGTTCTGGCATCTATGGGGTTAAGGTGAGTGTGAGACCGGTGGCTCTGCTTTCGGTGTCCTGTGGCAATAAGAATTCTGAACCTAAAGACCTGAGAGCCAGACCATCAACTGAGGTGAAATATATAGAGATTGTGATTACCATCTGGAATATTCCTGGTGCATGCTCTTTCCTCAAGTCGTGGTCACATACCAGGTCCTATGTGATTGTCATTTTTCCAAATGCCGATGAACAGTAGTCTATATTTAGGCTTTGGGGCTTTATATTCCTAATGTATATTGAATGTAGTTCTCAGTCTACAATCTTAAAATCCAACTACAGTGGGCTGAGTAGGTTAAACCAAGCTTTGTCTCTGTCATAATTTAGATAATCACTAAGGAAATTGAAGCAAATGAGTGGAAGAAAAAATATGAAGAAACCCGACAAGAAGTTTTGGAGATGAGGTTAGACTGGAAGTTGGGAAGGGATCGGATACCTTTATGCAATGTTAGATTTAATGCACTGAAGTGATTAGAATATTTGCTTATCATAAAACCAGTTGTTAAGAGCTTGAAGACTTTGCTATTGTATCTTAATTTGTGATTAATAAAATGATTTCATATATATTACTGACCAGCTAAAATATTTAAATAATGTAGCTATTTTGGGTTGTTCAGAAGAATTCACATAAGCAGAAGCCACATAATTCTAGCCTTTTGAAGACATAAATTTGTTTTAAAATGCCATTTGAAATAGTGTAATAAGTGTGATTGATATATTTTATTATGAAGGCATTATAATGCACAGCGCCTTCTATAATTAAACATGGTAACTTCAAATTTCATAATCACCCAATAAATTATAAAAAGTGGGTTAACAAAACAAAATTAATTGATTTTATATTGAAATTTTTCATTTTTCTTCTTATTCTTTAAAGAATTGGGAGTAAGGAAATAACTAAAGGTGATATTAAAGAAGGAGGAAAACCATAATAATTTAAATTTCTTCACTGTGCAACCATCCCTTAAAGATGAAGATACAATTAAAATATACCCACTCAAATTTATAACTTTTGATTGATTGATTTTGAAAATTTACTGGGTATAAAGCTGTATGCTGGAGGGTGAGGGGCAGTCCCTGCCCTTAGAAAGCATACAGCATCCATTGAAGAAACTTGAAGACCACCCTGGAGGAGTGGGGAGCCATCCTTTCGCCCCAAGGGTCACAGGGAAAAACACTGTCACTGAACAGGGTTGGGAAAGCATTATTGCATTGCACTAATGAAAGATTAACACAGTAAGATGATGTTTAAAGTCTTTGAATAACTGGGATGTTTTTGGAATTAGAGTAAAATGAAATTTATAACTGAATAAACTACCTGAAAGGGGGTATGGAGCCAGGAAAATTGAACTCAGATGGTATCATAGGAGGAACTCCATAAAATGTCATTAATTTAATTTGTAAGAGATTAATTCCTATAAGAGTTGATCTGTTGAGGGTCATTCAAAGAGATGCAAAGAAAAAAATGCCTTTACTTTTTCTTAATTTCTTTTTTCTGTTTAAAAATACATTATAAAATATGTCACTGTGAATAGAAGTCTTGTTAAACATAAAATCTTAAGGAAGTCTTTTTGAATGTTGACAAATCTTATGTAAATGTTAAAAAGGAAGAGTCCCAAAGCAGGTCATTAGGTCAAGTAAATTTGTCATAGAATGTTAATGTGCTCAGTTATTTGGGGCAGCATTTCTCTAATTCCTGTTGTCTGAAAATTCACTTCTGATAGCCGTGTTTTGTTTTTTTAAGGAAAATTGTGGCTGAATATGAAAAGACTATCGCCCAAATGATTGGTAAGGAAAATTTTTTTCTAGGGTATGAGACACAAGATCCATGAATTATCTTCAGTATAGAGCATTAAGTTATTTTCTCCATTATTCAGACACAGCTGATGCTCATATTTGCAGCAGTTCTGTTCTAGAAAGTTGTCACAGATGCTGATTTAATGAGTACTGAAGCTGTGTTGGGTTATGTTCCCGCTGGCCTGTAGTTACAATTTTTTTGTTGGCTGGTCAGTAAATTTGTCTTCTGTGTGTTTCTGTCTAAAGGTGCTAGATTTATATATAGTTGATTCATTAATCTTGGATTCCTAGCTGACAACTTATTGAACAAAGCAAACCTAACACATTTTCCTCTTAGTACTTATCACAACCTTCTTGCACTTTGGAACACCAGACAGCAAATCAGCACTATGGTTGGGGACCATTTTAATGGCAAAGTCACTAAAACAAAACAAAACTGCAAAAAAACTGGCACTAATGTGAAAAGGACACTTGTTTATAGTCTAAAACAAGAAGGCAGAGGGTCCCTTGTTCACTCTCAGCTGAAAACATGTTCATCAGGTGACTACCTATGTTTCCTGCTGCTCTGTACTTGTCCGTGAATGACAGGAACATGCTACATTTATTGATTTGGGGGTTACAAGTAAACTTTAGCAAATAGGCCAGCTTTCACATAAGGAATCCACAGTAATGAGGACTGAGTATAGTGAGCTTCATTCTAGAGGATAGCAAACCCTGGAATTCTGTGAAAAGCCCTCACCCAGTATCTAGAATGTTGATGGCTAGGTCCTATCATTAGTACCCTCTTGGGTGGAATCTTTTTGTTTTGGTGCACTGTCTTTTACACTTCTACAAATTGTCCTTTCCCTATACTAAACTTATGAATGTCTTTACTAAACAACATTGCATTGAATTTAGACCCTCTTCTAAGGACTAACTTCTAAAGTCTATCACTCCAAGTGAAAGTCGGTTCTTCTTGAATTTAGACACTAACATGAAATTTTCTAATATCAACATCAGCATCACCCTAATGCCTTTCTAGCAGGGTCTTTGCTGCACCTCTATGTGCAGTATTCCCCCAGGTAGCTGCATGGCTTTTGCCCTTAGTTCTTTTTGGGTCTTGGCTCAAATTTCTGCTGAGAGAGAGACCTCTTTATAAGATGGAGCACACACCCCTCTTACCCTGCTCTGCTCCTTCCCCTGTCACTATCAGCACACATCATACATCTCTCTTCACTAGATGTAGGTCCTTGAGAAAGTAAGAGCTTTGCTTTGTCCACTCCTGGGGCCCTAACTGCAGGGGCGGTGAGAGGACACACCAGAGACAGAGTGGGGGCAGAACAGGCAGATCAGTGAAGTACACTGCTGAGGGGAGCAGCAGGTGGGTCAGAAGAGGTCTGCCATTCCATGTGGATCACCTCTGGAGCAGGGGATCGAACTCACACTGAAGTGACTGCAACTAGCTTGTAGTGCTGCATCCTAACCCGTTGAGCCACTAAGGAGGGCCCAGCTGTTAATTTTTTGTTGAATAAATGTGCCGATGTTTTTGATTGTAACTTACAGAAGATGAACAAAGGACAAATATGACTTCCCAGAAGAGCTTCCAACAGCTTACCATGGAGAAGGAACAGGCCTTAGCTGACCTTAACTCTGTGGAAAGGTCTCTCTCTGATCTCTTTAGGAGATATGAGAACCTAAAAAGTGTTCTGGAAGGGTTCAAGAAGGTAATATATTCTTTTCCTTCTGTCCCCTTGCTGGTGTGTCTTCTTGGTAATAGATCTTCAAACATATATGCTGGAGTTGTAAGCAGTCTTTTTTTTTTTTTAAGATTTATTTATTTATGCAGACAGACTGGGGTACAGGCCAAAGGTACAGAGACAGTGAGGGTATACACTAGAGACAGAGTGGGGAGCAGAACAGGCAGATTGATGAAGTACACTGCTGAGGGGAGCAGCAGGCTGGTCAGGAGAGGTCTGTATTGCCATGTGGATCACTTCTGGGGCAGGGATCGAACTCATGCTGAAGTGGCTTTAGCTTCTTAGTGGTGTGCTTTAACCCACTGCACCACGAGGGAGGGTCGTTAAGCAGTCTTTTAAACTGGGATTCAAGGCATCTATTGACCTGTACCTTCTGTTCCAGTGAAACTGGAGACATATATTTATCCCCCCTTTTTTCTTTATGGGATTGTTCAAGGACATCTGACCCAGTGGGTGACTTGTCTTTGTTCATTCTATCAGGCTAGTCAACCCTAGACACAACCAGAGACAGCTCTCAGGCCTTAGGAGTATTCTAGAAATGTTCTTTTGGATAATTTATCAAGTCAGTACTAGTAAAGTAAAAGGGAGTCTAACCTGAAAAATTCAGGCTGTATATTCTAAAAGAAAGTAAGTATATTGTTTCAAATTAAGATGCCAGTGGGCACACTATCACACTATCAATAAGACACATTTAAAAGTAGTAAACTTTCTTTTTTTATATTTCATGACTGTCTTTTTTCTAATTAGTCACGAGACTGACTAGTTATATTGCCATTCACTTTTGAATTAACTCTTTCCTAAAGTAGGTGTAGCTGAACCTTACTGGTATGATACAAAATTAATGCATGGGAAAATTATCTCGAATTTCTACAGCGAGAATATTTGTGTCAGTGAGATAATTTACAATTCAAATTACCACAGAATATAACTTAAAAGACATCTGAATTAATTAGTTTTCTCTTTTTTAAAAAAAAATACAAAAATTAGCACATGGCTGTAACTAGTAGAAGAAAAACAAAATAACCTTTTGTTTAAATTGTCATTTTGGAACAGAATGAAGAAGCCTTGAAAAAGTGTGCTCAAGATTACTTAGCCAGAGTTAAACAAGAGGAACAACGATATCAAGCCCTGAAAATTCACGCAGAAGAAAAATTAGACAAGTAAGAGCATATGCATATTTAATTTCATTTTTCATGATGTGGGGAGAGTGACAGAGGTTTAAAAAAAAGTTTCTCATTTCTATATTACATTCGTAGGCATGCATGTGTGCACATTTATTGATTTTTTGAATAGGTAGAATCTTCACATGGTTCAAACATTAAATAGAATGAGAACATGCACTGTATCTCCCTCACAACCTGCCCCCCCTTCCATTGGGTTTTCATCTCTCTCCTCACACCGGGTGCTCACTCTCTCTTAACCAGATACACTTCCCACCCATAGTTTCCCTGCTTTGTTGAGAGGTAGCTGATAGACAACATTATGTGGGTTTGAGGTGCATAGTGTGTTGATTTGATCCATTTATATTCCTCAGAATGTTTACCAGCTTCAGTGGTAAAGCACACCTCACTTTTTCGTTTATTTTGGAAAACTTTCCATATCAATCCATAAGGAGCATCCGTGTTTGTTTTTTAGCCAGCCCCTGTTGTACATTTGAGTTATTTAATATCTTCCGCTACAGACAATGCTGCAGTAAGTAATGGAAATATCCCTGAAAGTGAAAAAGCAAGGAGGAGGCTACTGGTGGCTTGTGGGCAGAGAGACTTGTGAGGAAAGTAGAGCATGCCAGGAGCCAAGAAAAACGTCCTCAGAACTAAATGAAAAATGGAGGGCGTGGGCTTGCTGAAGACGCTAAATGGTGGGCCTTGGGCATGGTTCTCAGATGGCCTCGGTTTTGCTGAGCTCTTAATGTCAGCCCTGCTGCGTGCTCTGAACTGGGACGCTTTGTTCCATTTCGCTTGTTCCTTATTAAACTCTTGAATGATAGTGAATTAATAAGTGACCTTAAATAATGATTATTTGGCATGCATGTGAGTTTTCTGTGTGATATAAAAGGAGTTGCTGGGCCAAAGAACATACGAATTATTGTAATAAATATTATCAAACTGCCTCAAGGAGGCTTTCTTCAGCTTACCTCCCTAGACAACATGCAAAGAACACCCCTACAGCTTTGCCAACAGATCAAACTTTGGTTTTCTGCAGTTTTAATAGATGAAATCGAATATTTAAATTTAGTGAGGGGGTTGCTTTTTTTTTTTTTTTTTTTTAACTTCTTTTCTTACCATGAAGTCATTTCTAGGTCAGTATCTTGTGGACATTAGTGGTTAGTATCCTGATAGATGATTAACCAATCATGTGCTTTTTTTGCCTCCTTATGCTGCAACCAAAACACCATAAACAGAGCCAATGAAGAGATTGCTCAGGTTCGAACAAAAGCAAAGGCTGAGAGTGCAGCTCTCCATGCTGGACTCCGGAAAGAGCAGATGAAAGTGGAGTCCCTGGAAAGGGCCCTTCAACAGAAGGTACAATGAGGGAGTTGGTGGCCTGACTGAATCAGGTGTAGACAAGACAATATGTGAAGCCCTTTATTGCAATTTTACTCTCCAGGGCACCACTGGCAGCCTCTAGGTCTATTTGGTTGTAACTACTAGGAGATGCTACTGGCATCTAGTGAATAGAGGCCAGAAATGCAGCTAAACAGCCTGCAGTGCCCAAGGCAGCCCTCACCACAGAATGAACTAGTAGATGATGTCCACGGCACCATGCCTGACAAATTCCATTATAAATAAAAGCCAGTGGCAATACGGCCTCTGTTTTCATTGCTCGGCAATTCTTGTACTTCCTCTTTCATATGCCAGTATTGTTTTTCTTACCATGTCTGTACTCATGATGGTGACATTCATCCAACTAGACCAGTGTTTCCCCCCTCCATGGGGTCTACCAGCTACAACAGAGGGATATTCAGTAAGACTACAGAACCCTAGACCCAGGAGGTGCTGGTGGGTTGGGTGAGGGCCCAAATACCCCAGATAGTTCCTGTGATAACAATAAATTTTGAGAACTAAGATGTTTGTGGTTGAATTGCAGAGGGCTGGTCACTAACCTCACTCCCTACTCAGTGTAAGTCTGAACACATGAACATTTTCTAGGAGAGATGACATTTATCTTTCCTTCCTTTTAAGAGTCTCTGATGTAGCAAGGTTAAGAACCACTGAATTAGGATGTCTAGGTAGAGGATAGCCAGTTGGAATATACTAAATACAACTAATTGTCTCAGGACACAGAGTGGCCTGCATAATCATGTCACTTATCTTTCAGAACCAAGAAATCGAAGAACTGACGAAAATCTGTGATGAACTGATTGCAAAGCTGGGAAAGACTGATTGAGTTTCCCCGTTAGCTCGGCAGATTTGCATTTGGCTGCTTCTTGTGACCACAATTATCTTGCCTTATCCAGGAATAATTGCCCCTTTGCAGAGAAAAGAAAAAAAAAAAAGTCTAAAAAAAAGCACATGCCTACTGCCGCCTGTCCCGCTTTGCTGCTGATGCCACAGCCCTGGAAGGACTCTGAAGTGTCGCACAGTCTCAGAGGAGTGGATCTGACAGTGCTAGAGTCTCGCAATTCTGTCAACAGTTCAGATGGCCAGGCTGCTGCGTGTGGGTTTGTGATTTCTCTATCTTCGGTTTGTTCTGGGTCATCTTTACTTTTGAAAGTGCATTGAGTTTGTGACTTTTGTGGTTACTTGGGGTCATTGCATATCTACCACCTGTCTGATTTTGTTTTGTAACATATTTAATCCTTTATCTTTTATTTTTAATATTAATGGTTTTACTTAATTTGACTTGTTACTTCCAGTTAGAAACAAGGACTCTTGAATGCCCATTTATACACAGACACACATATCTGTATATGCCACTAGGTTTTTCCTGTGGCATAATTAAGAATTTTACAGTAGGACCTATTTCCATAAATGTAAAACCCTGTTATGAAATAGAATCCTGGCTTCAGGATGCCAATTTCAAATTTAGGAGATTGAAGATGGGGAGACCCCAGATTCATGTCTCTCATGACTCAGGTTTTGCATCTGGGGAAGATTGTGCCCTCCTGTCTTGTTGCCCTGGTATGTGGACACTCCTCCGTTGTGAGGAGACTGGCCCTTTTGGCTTCGGTCCCCAGATTGAAAGTTTTCCACTTTCCACACAAAGCAACATGGGGTTCTCTCAGAGCTAGGGTTTGACAAGTCTATCCTGGAGCGGCTAGTCTGCTAAGCTTCCATTTGTTGCTACAAAATCCACATTTACTGTTTATTTTCTTCTTATTTGAAATATGCAAAGAAAATCTTGTAAAAGGTTTAGACGATCTTATTTAATTAAAATGTCACTGTAACCCCATTAGCAATCATAGGGTGAAGGAACAGTTGGAATTTTCTAAGTGTAATGCATTATTCTTAGATGTTTTCTTTTTAAAGGCAAAGAGTCCTTTCAAACTTGAGATACTAAACTCTATAACAAAGAAGGCAAGGAATATGTGAACCACTCCAAATAATCAGCACATTTTAAATATTTTTAAACAAAGACCATTTGAATACTGGAGGAGGGGCATAATCACTTAACCAAATTCCTTAAGCTCTTACTGGACTTGGTCCAGAATGGTGGGGGCATTAACCCCAAGATGGAAATTTCCCATATAATGCAGTGAATTTCCTTCCATTTGATAGGCAAAACCAAATCCATGCAAGTGTTGTAAAGCACTCTTTTGTCTTAATCTTACACCCTGAAAGTCTTCATGGTGACATGCACTACATTCAGTACAAGTAAGTTTTCGTACCTTTCTTGTAAAACTATTGCATGATTCAACTTCAGCAACTGAATTGTGCCTAGTGGAGAACCTCTATAGATCTTTAACAATGAGTTTTTCTTTAACCGTGTATTCACATGGGTGCAATCTTTAGCCCCAGAGAGGTCAATAATGTCTTTTAAAGCCAGAAGTCACGTTTTACCAGTATGATTTATCATAATTGGTGCTTAGGCTATATTTGAAAGCCTTTTGTCTTAACATTTTGTATGAAAAAGAACAACAGAAGTGATCTGTGTTTGGAGGTGACTGGACAATCATTTGGCCTTTGAAAGCAGTCACTGTGGTTTAATGTGAATGCTGTACTGTAGTCAGAGTATCCATGGAATATAAGTGTCTCCAACTGGCGTAAGTGATTTCTTTTTCAGTCCTCCACTACTAGGAAAATTAGGATTTTATGCTAAGAATCCTTGCTAAACCTTTTTGCTGCTGTTTTGGTGGAATGCCCATGTTTTCTTATTTTATGTTGACTGGTTCTAAGCATGAAGACATTTATAATGGTCCTCATTATGAGCCCATTGCTTTTTTAAAGCATCTTGTGTGGGGGAGAAAAAGTAACTATGTGTTAAAACAGAGGTGATGGACAATCCTTCCCTAACTCACAGGTAGAAGAGACCCTTAGTGAATGAAGTTTCCGCACAAAGAATATGAAACTTAAGTAATACTTGCCTCTGGCTCAGCCTTGATAATTACAAGGAAATATTTGCTCTTTATTCCAATTTAATAAATGGATATTATCCAGCAAGAATAAATGGATATTATACAGCTGGCAAATCAGTAGGATACTGAGCAGAATGAAGTACATGTTCATTTTCTGGCAAATCAGTAGGATACTGAGCAGAATGAAGTACATGTTCATTTTCTTTAAAAACAAACTATAGAAAGCTCCTTTAGAGTGTAAGAACTTTAAAGTGTAAGAACTGTCTAGAATTTGGTATCAAAGCACGTGAAAACTAAACTTACTGGTTAGGCACTATTGGTTACTACTATTGGCTAGTACTAACAATCGTTAGTAAATTCAGTTACAAAAGTATGAAGGGGCCAAGAGAGTGATTTGGGGAGTAATCTGTGATCTTGTTGAGATTTTGGATCCAGAGACATTTCTTAAGATTCTGACTGCAAAAGTGTGTATAAATTATATGCAGGTGTTTTAATTGGAGGATTTAATGTAAGACCAAACAGTTTGTCACTAGGTTAGCTGGTCAGTTACAGTCAGAGCTCCAGGATGTGCTTTAATTGGAGAAGGTCCTGAAAGCCAGTGACCTGCCCAAACCTTCTGTTCTGTAAACTCGTCTGGAAATATTGAGAAGCCCCATATTTTCATGTGGTTTTTAGCTTCTTCAAACCCATCCAAATTGGGAAGTGCAGAAGCACATGATGGTGAAAAACTGAGGGCATGGCAGCCTTCCAGAAGGATATGGAATCTAAGGGAAGATTTACTTTTCATTTGGTAGGACACCTCAAGTTGAATTTTTTTTCTAGCCTGTTCCCCCTTTTGCCTGCCCCACACTTCATACAATTCTTACACAAATACTTCAGTATTTATAAGTAGCCCTGAGTCAGAACTGTCTAAACTGCCCCAGATGTCCATGGGCTGACTAAAAGCAGCCCGAGTGAAGCCCTTATTTTGATAAATACTAACAAGGGGCTTGGTGGTAGATTTAAAACTCAAAATGAAGATGTTTGAAGAATAAGATTTGCTGAGTCTTATGTACACTAGTTATGGTGAATCAGCACATCTTGATGGAGTAAAGAGCTCAAACCCGCCACTACCCCCTCCCCACCCCCGTTTCTGTCTGGTTTCCCACTGTGATTGGTAACCACCTCATGAGCTGTCCACAGCTGTTGTCCTGTCTCTGTTATTTTACATCCTCTGCGTCTGCTCTCGGACTTGGGATTCTTACTTCATCCTTCTTGTAGGAAGAGAGAAACCAGGTATTGAAAGGTTAAATGATTCAAGCAAAAGATTTTAAAGTAAAGACATATATATATATTCTGAAGAATTTAAAAGATGATAGATTATTATTTGCTTATTAAAAGTCTGGAAATCCCAGAATGTCAAATCAAAGGTCTAAGAAGTCTTCTTCACTAACTTTTATAAAGAAGTATTTAAGGAGACTTCTGTGCAAAAAGGTTTGACTGACCTCTGGATTCTAGTCATTTTTAAAAAGCAATTTATCATCACACCTTGAGTCTCCCATATAGTAAAGGAAAAGGAATTGATATATTAGACATGACTAAGGATCTCCTCTGGAAGATAAATAATGCCAGCATATCCAGTGAAGACCCATTCCCTAGTGCCCAGAGTTAGCATTCTGGAGACTAAAGATTGCACTTTTTGTAGTTTTTCGTCCAAATGCAATCCCATTTCTGTGCCTCTTAGCATGCAATTAGATTGGGATAAACAAGATTCCTAAGGAATGACTATTAACTATAATATGGTTACAGCTATTACATAAATGTGTGTGTGTGTGTGTGTGTGTGTGTGTATAAATATATATATTCTGGTTATAGTTCTAATATGGAGATGTATGCGATGCTGGCCTGTGGCAGTCTGTATAATGCTTTAAATCCTTTGGAGGAGGCCAGGCTTGGAGCTGAGGTGTGGTTGGAACTTTCCCTAAGTATTGATTCTTTATTCAGGAAGTATAAAGATGCCACTTTCTCCCCTTCTGCCTTGTTGTGGTATCTGAAACATACTCCAAAAGAGTATTCCCTTCTCTCGTTATTAACCACGATTCTATATTTATGAATAATTTTTATAAGTGGACATAAAAAAATTTGAACCCCAAAACGCCCAGGCCAGCTACAGGGCCAGAGTCTGTAGATTCCCACACCCCAGTTTCAGCTAGGGCCATCTCACCCACCAAGACAGGATGCAGGCATTTCTTTAAGTCTCAGAGGTAGCAGTAAACTCTTCAGTGTTGCTGTTAGCAAGTGTGTGTTTGCCAGTAGATATTCATGTGTACTAATGTGCCAACCAGTGAACGTTGACTGCACATTTTCCACTGTGTTCCTACGGGTGCCATGAAGCGTGTGAGGAGCCTCTCATCTAGAGGAATGATCACTGCATTGACTACTGCTGTCAGGATTGTGTTGTGTGAAATAATCATCTACATAATTTTTATATGCACAGTAATTTCCCTTTTATATGTCAGGTAAATATTTGTAAAAGTTATACTCACACAAATGAAATTATTATAATGATTACTAATATATTTTTTCCATGTTTCATTGCCTGAATAAAAACTGTTTACCACTGTTTGATGGTGTGTGTTTTTCTTTCCTGCTTATAAATCACTTTATCCTTGAATATGAAAACTTAAGACAGCCAGATTTTTATGAGCTCCATATTTCAGTCTAAAAATAGAAAAGATGACATTTTGCTTCACTTATTTTGTGGGGTTTTATGCATTTGGTTGGGTGTATAATTAAAAACAAAACAAACTTTGGAATTCAGAGCTCATGATATAAATTTCCATGCCTTTGCATCTGTGCAAACAAAGTTTTTAATTGGGTACTTCTTGGTTTGCTTAGAGATTGCCTGACTGCCCTCACATTTTTCAAGTCAGAAGGACCCAAGTCACCCCAAGCTGTCTGACTTGTCGAAGGACACAGGATAAGCCAGACTGTGTAAACATGCAGAATAACCCACAGAAAATAGGTGACGTTCTATGTTTCTTCTAGGTTAATACCAGGAAAAACCGTTTTCAGCACTAGCCAAGCCAGCTTTCCATTAAAGGGGCAGAGGCCTGGGCAGGGAGTTTCATGCGTTTTTACAGGAGTTTCATATTTTTACAGGAAAAACTATGTTAAGGGGCTAGTTAAAGCTTCATTTTACAACTTGTGGGGGGGGCGGGGTAGGGGAGGGGGGACTCAGGGAAATAATAGCACTGTCATTTTCTTACTAGTTGCACGATAAGACAGTTTTCCTTATATAGTTCCCGTTAGTGGCCCCTGGACTTCCAGGAGGGAACCTATAACTTGACTGCAGGGTGGCATTGCCACTTACTGATGCCACAGACTAGAAAGCTCGTTTTTGTTTGTTTGTTTGTTTGTTTGTTTTAAAGATTTATTTATTTATGCATACAGAACTGGGGCACAGGCCAGAGGTCCAGGGGCAGTGAGAGGCTTCACCAGAGACAGAGCGGGGAGCAGAACAGGCTGATTGATGAAGTACACTGCTGAGGGGAGCAGCGGGCGAGTCAGGAGAGGTCTGCTGTGCCATGTGGATCACCTCCAGAGCCGAGGATTGAACTCGAACTCACACAGAAGCGGCAGTGGCCAGCTTACAGTGCTGAGTCCTTACCCATTGCGCCAGTAGGAAGGGCCCAGAAGCTCATTTTTTTAAGAATTGTTGCAAAAATAAGATGAAAAGTACCTTTCTATTCTCTTAACTAAATTTTATTTTCGATAATGTTAAACTACTGTAGGTTTTTGTACTTTTCAAGTAGTGAAACATTAAGGACCAATCAGTATTTTTCAAAAACATGACAGTAAATAAAGGGTATCGCGCAAATTAAGGATAAGTGTGCTATAAAGTCTGTTTCGGCTACAAATGTGTGACAAATGTAAGTTTCTTGGAATAGCTACTGGTGAAGTATAAAAACACATGATCTAAGAGACATTTTACCGTCGAAACTGAGGCCCCAGAGAAGTTGATGAGACTTCATTGAGGAGTCTGTGTATTAGTCAAGTGTTGCCCTAAGTCAAAATGGACAACAAAATTAACTGCCACTTAATCTTCTGGAGCTCTTTAAATGCAAATTTTCCCAGGTTTGGGTAATACTACATTGTTTTTTAATTTTACAGGCATTTAAGGGCCAATCAAAACCAAATATCGTTTCTCTACATTAATTTACAAAAATGTGACTTATTTGTTAAACTGATTGATGCAAAAATTTCTGAAACTAACTAAAGAAATGTATTCCAAATTTGACAGAAATGTCATTAAAATATAGGTGGTATGCTAATTAAAACTATTCTTTCCCAGGGCTTCCCTCGTGGCATAGAAGGTTAAGTTTCAGCACTATGAAGTTATCAGCAGCCACTACAGCATGAGTTCTGTCCCCCTCCAGGGAGCTGACCCACATGGCACAGCAGACCTCTCCTGTCTCAACCCTTTGCTGCTCCCCTCAGCAGTGTATTTCAGTCAATCTGCCTGTTCTCCCCACTGTGTCTCTGGTGAATCTTCTCACCCTCCTCCATCCACACCTCTAGCCTGCACTGTAACATTTGTATGCATAAATAAGTAAAATACATCTTATAACTTTTTTCCCAGGAGAAATCTATTCTGAGTTCTGAGTTATGTGCTTGAGGATGCCAAGACAATGGCCTATACAATCTATTAGTTAAGCCTAACCCCAAACAGGAATAGATGGCATGGAACTACTAAAAATGGTGCAGACTAAGACCAGAGGTGTCTAAAAGGAACAGCAGACAGACCAATAGGAAGGAACACCCAGCCACACAGAACAACACTCTGGGCTTGGCTGGCCTCAGATCCCAGTCTCTTGTTAATTCACTTTCCATAGCTTCGATTTCCTCAACTCTGAGAATATTAATTTCTACCTCATGAGGGGTTGTAAGGATTCATAATGCTTGCATGATGCCTGACTCTTAGGTCTTTAATAGATGATAGTGATTATCATCACCTAAAACCTTGAGTTTAAGAAATTCTCAAATGATGCCTCCCTTGGAGGCAAATAATTTTGTTAATAGTTTTACTAGAAATAAATAACAAATTTGAAAACAAGCATAACCTAACTTTGTTCTTTTATTTGAGATTAGCCCACAGTGGAAAACTGGAAGATAAACTGAAAACAGCCCAAAGTTGGAGTGACTACGCTATTAAGTGACTACGCTATTAAGTGGAGGGTGTAAACTCCAGGATCTGTGTCTGCCATGAAATACTAGGTTTCTATGATCTTTATTTTCCCTTTCCCAAAATGTGTATTTCTGTCAAAGTTTGGTTCTCATGGGAATATATACAACTCTATATATGAATATATATGTATTCATATATATGAATGAATGAGTTGTATCTTCAACCTGTTCTTGCATATATATGTAGATATGCTAATTAAAACTATATGAAAGAATAGGCTGAAGATACAATTTAATTCAGAAATTTATTTTTTAGTCAATATTAAGGAAAGGGTGTTGATTATCGAGTCCCCTGTGTGCCAAGTGTTCCTTTACAAATATGTCACATTAACAATTCCATGTAGGTAGAATTATGTTGTTTCTACCAATGAGGGAAATGAAACTAACAGACAATTCAGTTGGTTTGTCGGGAAGTGCGCTGGCATTTGAACCCCTGTCTCTGATCTCAAATCGCATTCTCATTGAGTCACTCCATACTGGGAATATATTCTTCATACTTTAGAATATATTCTTCAACCATGCAAAGGAGGACTTTTCACTCATGAATTGAATTTTCCTGTTCTTTTCTCATCTCTAGTTGGAATATTTCAATAAATATCTGCAAAGTCTTTGCATAAGCATGTCACCAGAGTTCTGTAGTATGAGAACATGACACCTAGTAAATATGCATAATTCATTATCTCCTTTAAGGCATCCTTGTTTTGTGGGCAGATCTTGGCCTGGGAGAGTGAGGTGTGGGCTCTAGGCCTAATTTTTGTCACCAGCACTGGGTAAATCCCTAACACCCTCAAGTGCTAACTATAATGCAAAAGATTCTCCAGTTTCCCTTTCAAAATCATTCTGAAAACGCATCTTCAAATGTACTGACAGTAGTGAACTTGACACAGATGATGAGTCCACAGCAAGTTCTGCGGCACCATGGTGGTTACAGAATTCAGAGGTGGGTTCCAGCGGCATCACACAGAGAGGGAAGAGGCCTAGGCTTAAGCCCCAGCCAACATCCCAAGTCTGAACTCCTGTCTGGTGGATTGAGATTCTTTGGGCCTCAGCTTTGTATGTAAAATGAAGAGGTTGGTACATTCTCCAAGGTCTCTCCCAAGAGTGAGAGTGTCATTATAGTCATACAAGCCTCAACACTTAAATGACTGAAGCTGACCTACACTAAATATCCTCCCGCAGTTCACCCACGGACTCACTAGTTCAGTTGCCCTGTCAAGATGGGCTTGCCCTTATTATCTGCGTTTCTGAGAATAAATTAAATGACAAGATATGTTGAGTTCTTAAGACGTACAAACTCAATCACAAATATTCAATCATAAGATGTTGTATAGATTTAAAAAGGCATTTTTGTTCAAGGCAATAAAATATGACAGCATCATTACCTGGTAATTAGTGCATTGAAGTACAAACATAATCTTCCATACAAAGATTCCAGACAGCCCCTCATAAAGAAGTGCAGCAGTAAATGTGATTTAGAAAAGGTACTTGACACTCACTTTGTCTTTTATGAAGTCCTGACTTTTCTTTCCCCCTTTCAGCTGATTTTTGTAGCATCACAGATTTTTGGCAAAAATACAATTTCTAGTATATGAACTTGTTTTCCTGCATCAGCTTCTAACACAAATGCATGTGAATGGTCACTGGGGGGCTCCACTCCCAAAGCCTTACAATTTTTCAAAATGCAGGTCAAAACCCACTAGCAAAGACATGAATTAGAAGAGTGCTTACTAAAAGATTAAATAGTGGAATTAATGTTTGGAGCTTTTATTTTACTTAAACAGAGATTGGTGAGGTCCACAAAGTTTAAAAGATTTTGAAAACAGTTTGAAAGTGACTAGGTTGTGAGAAAGAGGGTATTGTTAAATGTCAAGAGTTTTGTGGGAGTCAAAAATAACAGGTTTGCAATACTACTCATATTTTAAAAGTAAGTTACAGCGTTTAGACCACTTAGTAACCAACAACCACAGTTTATAGTAACTTGAAGAAGTCAAAATTGTAAAACAGGAACATGAAGCTATGTTCAGAAAACAAGACATAAAGTTCCTTCCTAATCCTCAATTGAGAGGAAAAGAAGAAAAGTGGAAGCTAGGAAGAGGAACATATTAAGAATAAAAGCTGGTGAACCTGTAACTGCTCTAAAAAACAGTCTAATTTTTAAAAGAGAATAAAAATCAAATTTCCTCTGCTTTGCCCATCCTCATTTCAATTCACCATCCTCCCTGTGGCAGCAGAGGGCAGACTGCTGAGTTCCAAAGCCCCACAGCTGCTAGCACAGCCAAAAACTCACATGCGAGAAAAGATAAGAAAAAAAATGAAACCTGTTGGAAGCAAGAATAGCCCTTGATTCTAAGTCTTTAACTCTCTCT